GCACCTGTACCGCGGTTGCTCTGATGTCTCCGAGGGGGACCGCTCAGGGATGGACAGGGAGGTGGACGACAGGGTTGTGGCGATGGAGGCTGTGGTGGCTTCCTCAAAAGAAGGAGGCGTGCAGGGCAGGAGGTCGGGCCGGCCTGTGGGGAGATGGCGGTGGGCACCCCGCCACTCCATGCGCCCTTGGGTGCCCACACACCCCGGCACCTTCCCTCCCTTGCTCCCTCCCAGACGCGCCCACCTTTCCCCTATGCTCCAGGCTCCTCACACAGCTCTGACCAGGACAAATGAAATATAATATCCCCCTAGCACAGAGGCTGCCAGTAGCTTCCCAAACCCCTAACAACCCAGAGGACCTTGCACGCCCAAGCCTCCTGCACGCACCTCCTCCCTCCCTCTGCTCCACCCACGCTGGCCTCTAACATGCCAGGAGAGATCCTGCCTCAGGGCCTTTGCACGTGCTGTCTCACCTTCTTTGATGCTACTCCCCCAGCCCCTCCCTGCCTAAAAATTCTTGACCCCATGGGCTGAGAGGGGCCTTCCAGAACATTGGGTTTCATCCTGTTTATGATGTCCCTGAACAGCTCCAGTGATGGTAACAGCAGACTGTCACCTCCCCGGATGGTGCTTTCTATGCTCAGCTCTCCCTGTGGCTCCCCACTCTCTGGGTGGCTCTGTAGATCCTGGAGGGGGTGATTGTGATGTCAGAGTACACTCCGCTTCCAGGCACAGCTTGGAGCACTCTATCAGGAGGTCTCATGTCAGCTACGGGTGCTGCCTGCCTCCCGTGATGTCAGGCACAGCTTGGAGCACTCTATCAGGAGGTCTCATGTCAGCTACGGGTGCTGCCTGCCTCCCACTTTGCAGCCCCCACCCTGAGGATCACAAGTGCACCTGCCCGGCCACCTGCTCACCTTCGTCCTCCAGCGTGGGGTAGCTGCGGGCACCCCGTAGATCATACTGTGCATCCTCCCGCTCGCTGGGGATCTGGCTGGCTGAGAAGGCGGCCGTAGGCCCCAGGGGCTTGACGGCCAGCAGGGCACTGCGCCCCTTCTTGGATGGCGACGACTTCAGGGCTGCAGAAGGAGGTGGGCAGTCAGTGCTTGGTTCTGCCCAGGAGCCCCTCAGCAAAGCCCAGGCAAGGCCCCTGCTGGGCTCCTGGCTCCTCTTCTGCACACAAGCAAGGTCTGCACACGCACGGCCCAGCTACCCACACGCACAACCCCTGCTGACCACCCACGGGACCCTCTGCTCTTGCTGATCTAGCCTCTCCCTGTCACTTGAGGCTGAAGGAGACCAAAGCCTCTTTGTGGAAAAGCCTATAGCCACCCTCCAGGTGAACCCCAAGTCCCCACCTTCCCCACCCCTATTCACCCTGGGACCTCTCCCCCTGCTGGGCTGGGGCACATTGATGTTCCCGCCAGGGACACATTTCCTTGGCAACGGTATTGCCCATGGCAGTTAAGGCTACTGGGCCAGGCCCACCCATTTCATGTATAAACACACCCCACCCTCACAACTCTGTGCAGCTGGGGAAACTGAGGCACAGAGTAGGGAGTTGCGTGCTCAAGGCCACAGAGCCAGGACGAGACCCAGCCAGGCTTAGGGCTCAGACAGTGTGGCTCCAGACCCCTGTGTTACACCCCCGTGAGGGGCAGACACCCTAGACACCCTGGTCATCCCAGCTCTTGCCTCCCCCAAGACCCTCAGGTGGCTTACAAGAGTTCTTCCGAAAGACCGTGTTGCTCATGAACTTGAAAAAGCGCTCTGCATAGAAGCTGGGGCGGTGGACAGAGACCGTGTCCTGGAAGAGAGTGGCAGAAGGGGTGTTAGCAGCCAAGGACAGCCCCAGCAGATGCTGTGTGCTGGGGACAGGGAGGGGGAGTGGGGGGACTACCGACTGTGTAAAAAGGAAAGAGAGGGGTCCACGCAGTGGCTTCCTGGATGGGGACCCAAGGAACAGAGAACAGCAGCTCTCTCTGGGGAGGGGCACCAGGTCAGGGGAGGGGAAAGGGATGAGGGGGAGGGGAAAGGGATGAGGGGGAGGGGAAAGGGATGAAGGGGAGGGGAAAGGGATGAGGGGGAGGGTTTTTCACTAGAAACCATTTGCATTCTTAACGTTTTGAACCATGTGAATAAAGTAACTACACAAAGAAGTAAATGAATAAACAAAAACAATGAAATGATAAAAAGCCCATTTCTGCACACTACGTCTCTGGCTGTCTTTGAGCTGAGCAGCTTTGAGACGAGAGACCTCCAGGACCACCAATGGCAGCTGGTCGTCGGTGCCAGGCAGACCTGAAGGTCGCAACGCTCAAGTAACGGTAGGGTTTACTGGCAGGGAGCCCAGCGCACAGGCAGTGCTCCATGAACGTGCAGGCTGCTCCCTGGGGTCAAGCCTTCCATGACATGGTTTCTCAAACTTGCCACACCTGACACTTTGGGCTGGATCACTTGGTGAGGGGGAGGGGAGGGGTTGGTCCTGGGCGCTGCAGGTGCTGAGCAGTGTCCCTGGCCTCCACCCTCTCCATACCAGGAACAACCCCCAGTCATGACAACTACAAATGTCCCCGGACACTGCCCAGTGTCCCCCATGGTTGAGACCTCCTGCTGGAATGTACTAAAATCCGTCTGGCCCCAGGATGAGAACTACACTTCCCAGCTCCTGGGTGAGGTGTGGCCACGTGACCACAGCCTGGCTACGGGGGCACAAGCCTAAGCCGTGAAACCTTCTGCCCTCTGAGGGAAAGGCCCACCTCTGCCCCTTCCTCTGGCTGGAGTGCACATGCAGTGGTCAGCCCCTCTGGGCCAGGGGACAAGGACAACGTAAGGGATGTGGGGACAGCACAGGGGAGACCTGGCTGGGCTGGCCAGGACTAGAGAGCTCTCCTATGTGCCGTGGGAACAGGATTTCGGCCCTGGCCAGGCTTACAGCACCCCCGGGGCTGCCTGGTTAGTTCAGCTGCTTGGAGCGTAGCGCATCACACCCAGGCCCAAGGTTTGATCCCTGTACCGACCAGCCTCCAAACAATAAAAGGCCTCCTGCCACCCTGACCCTCTCACTGCATGTTCTGGAAGCTCCTGCCTAGACCCTCTAAATGATCCTTTGAGGGGGTCTCCTTCTTAGGATCTTAGATTCTACAGACTGTGGCCACACAAACAGTCCCCAGCACTTTACTGAGAATCGGTCTGACTCAGGGGCTGAGGGAGGACAGTCATCCACCCAGGAAAGACCTAAAAGTGGGCTGGGGTCTCACACCTTGGAGCATGAGTCAGCCACTGCACAGCTCAGCGGGGTGTGTGGGTTGGCTCGGACCTGCAGGTGGGCTCTCTCTAGCCCCACATGATTGGGCCTCCCGGGGTATCACGTTTAATCAGCAGTTACAGGAAAAAGCTCATGTGGCAACAGGAGTCGGAGCTGAGCTGTGCTGCCCCTGGGTGGGCTGGGCGCCCTCTACCCACCACAGTGCCCAAGACCCCCTGCACATGGCATGTTTCTGGAATGTTCTTTGCCTGTCTGGCCCGACTTTCCTGGCCAGGCTGTCCTAAGGAATCCTTCCAATTCAACTTGAGGGTTCCCTCCTCTAGGAAGCCTGCCTGAACCCCTCCCTGGATGGCAGGGACTCAGGCAGCTGCCTCTGCTTCCTCTGATGGCTTGGCTGGTAACTGGGTCCAGGGACACCCAGAAGGGTACGGCTTGTCTCTCAGCTCCCCAGCACGCATGCCTGGGCCAAGGAGACTGCCACTACATTTGTGGACGGACGGATGGAATGAGTGGATGAAAGAATGAAGGACTCACCCCATCGTGGACGAGAGCCTTCCAGGTGTGTTCAAGCTTCTTGATGAACCTGTGAAGAAACACCTGGACTGTTAGCTGACATCAGCCAAGCCCTTGAGACTAGGGCTCTTACATGGGGCAATTCTGCCCTCCAGGGAACACTGGGCAATGTCTGGGGACATCTGTGGTTGTCACGACATGGGGGTGCTCCTGGCATGGAGTGGGTGGAGGCCAGGGACACTGCTCAGCACCTGCAGTGCCCAGGACGGCCTCGCTACAGAGTGACACAGCCCCAGTGTCCATCAAGACCTTGCCTGCTGCATCAGCCAGAAGCCAAACTCCTCTTTCCTGTGTCCCCTTCTGCTCACTTCCCACATGCCTGGGGGCTCCCCCGACTGCTGCTCTGGGGGAGGAAATGAAAAGGGCGTGGTGCACAGCCTTTGGAGGAGGACAGACAGGCTGACACTTTCCTGGGCCCTCCCTTCCCCTTCCTCGCAGACCAGGCTGAGCCCATCTTCTCTGTGCTGTGCCATTGCCGTGGCTGCCAGCAGGTCCCTGGTCTGTGCTCAAGACCACACAGCACAAGAGACGTTGAAATCTCACATCATGTGACGTGGGATCAAAGATGTACATCATGTGACGTGGGATCAAAGATGTTCTGTCCTGCTGCTGTTTAGCTCCAGCACTTGGCACCCAGATTGCTGCACAGGGGTTGGACCAGCCACAAGGCACCTGCCACCCCACTGATCGTCTGGCACTTAAATGCCTCAGACTTGAGCACAGGAAAGCCCGTGTGTGAACAGAGGGCTGCAACATCCCTCGGATGAGTCCCCACAGGTGGAGTCACTGGGTTGGGGACCAGACACCCATTTAGGGATGGTGGAGAGGGCAGCCCAGAGAGCTTCACGGGAGGCTGCGGCATCTGTGGCACCAGGCGTGCGGGTGCTTGGGCAGCCGGCACCCACCTGTATGACTGCAGGATGTCTATGATGCCGATGTGCAGCAGGAGTCGCTCCCCTCGGCCGTTCACAGCGGGGATCCCACCCATCCTGGGGAGAGAGACAGCGCTGAGCAAGGGCCAGGGCCCGAGGAGGCTCTGGGGGTCCAGAATCCACCTGCCCCCTAGGTGGCTGCTAAGCTGGACCCTCGGAGGGGGGCCCCGGCCCCTGGGAGCCGCTGTCCTGGGGTGGGATGGAGCAGCTCTCTTGGGCATCTCTCAAACTCAAAGCTGGAGGACAGAGGCCGCCAAGGGGTCCCGGCTACAAGCGCCAGGCATGCGCACACATACTCACACACGTGCACACACATGCACATAATGTACATGCACACACACACCCGACGTGTGCACATGCGCACACTGCACTCCCAGGCAGGGCCACGCGGGACCTCAGTGGGGAGGCACTCCGGGGAGTTAATGACATCTCTTGGCACATGCCACATTAGTGAGGCCACGCGATGCAGCGCTGGCCCGCGGGCCGGCTCCCTCCACTCCACACACCTCTGGGCTCACCTGCTCCCCTGCCGGGCCCGCGAAGAGCCTACGAACACCAAGATGTCTGAGGGGGCAGCTGTGCGGGGCCTTTGCACGTGCTGCCCCCACTGCCTCCCCCTGGGCCCAGTTCCTCCTGTCCTCTGGCAGCTGGTGGCTGAGGTGGAGCCGGCACCAGCTCCTGGCAGGCCGGGCTGAGACTCAAATCGAGGCCACCCTCCCCCAGCCAGCTGTGCACCCTGTAACCTTTGTTTCCTCAGCTGGAAGTGGGGGGACGCCACTCGTCTCCTCTAGGGCCCCCAGGAGGGCTGCATGTGGTAGAGGAGGTGGAGGCTCTGGCTGGCTCCCTCCAGTCAGTGCGCAGAGAACAGGCCCTGCTGCAGCGAGGGACAGCCCTGACGCTGGCACATGACACTGGTTAACCCTGCCCCCCAGGGGACACTGGGTAATGCCTGGGGACATCTGTGGTTGTCACAACTGGGGGGTGCTCCTGGCATGGAGTGGGTGGAGGCCAGGACACTGCTCAGCACCTGCAGTGCCCAGGACCCCCCACCACAGAGAAGGACCCAGTTCCAGTGCCGAGGGGGACAGACCCTTTGACTGTCTTCAGAACCAAACCCAGAGCCCCCTGAGGGCAGGACCAGGTCTGAATCCTCTCCCCAGCACCCAACGAAGGTGCTTGTAGTAAACTGTCAATCAGTAAACGCCGGCTGGCTGAGTCGCCCTGGAGTCCTCTGTCACTGTTAGCTGGCTGAGTCGCCCTGGAGTCCTCTGTCACTGTTGCGTCTTCTGTTGCAGTGCTTTTTATCTTGGTGGAAGCCAACTCCCCCACCCTGCCCTCCATGGGTTGTGCCTGTATCTCGCTACTAAAGGGCTGCCTCACCCCCAGCCATTAGGACTCCTCCCAGGAGCACCTTTCCACGCCTTTGTGGTTTTGCCACGTGGGCAGCCTCTGATCTGGAAGAGCCGCACCCCCACCTACGTGTCATCTGACTCGATGGCCTCCCCGCGTGCGGCCCCGCCCTGGATGGACTCCATGGCTGTCGAGTAGAGCGCCTTCTGGCCCACGGGCCGCTTCTCGTCCGAGCTGCTCTGGGCCCCCTCGGCCTGCCGCTCGCGCTCATGCTGGTCGATGTTGTGCACACCCAGCAGCAGGCTGTAGTCCATGATCTTGAAGCTCTCCAGGACCTGCAGTGCGGGAGGCGCGGTCAGCCGGCCCCAGCACCGCTCCCTGACCCCAAGGGGACACTGGCACAGCCAGCCATGGCTGGCATTCAGCAGGAACCTCGCCAGGTGCACTGGGTTTGAGACTTGGTCCCACGGCCATGCAGGGGCCCGATCGCTATCCAAGGGGCCAGAAGGACCATGGTCACTCAGTAGGCATCAAAGCCAGGACATCGGGCCCTGGAGTGGGGGCTTCTGACCCAGTGACCGGCCACCTCTCAGGCTGGGGCAGGGACTTTACTCCCTGGCTTCAGTCCTCCAGAGGGAGGGAAGGGGTGCTGGCCCTGCCCGTGGGGAGGATGCACTCGGGCCCAAGAGGTGCAGCCCAGGTGCTCAGAGACGAGCCAGGGAAGCCTTGAGGCCCCCCAGATCTTCTGTGTAGTTTTTTGGGGGGCTTGGGTCAAGTTCAGAAAGGGGGCTGCCAGGGGTAGGGGTAGTAACAAAGGCTCGCCAAGAGCCTGGTGCATCGGGCTTTCCCTTGACCCCGAGCCAGCACAGGCTCCATGAGGGCTGTGTGCTGGGCGCCTGACCAGACCCCACCAGCTCTCACCGCGGCCTGCAGGGCAGGTGGAGCATTACCCAGTGCGACGGGCGAGGAAACTGAGGCCGTTGGAAGGTGAGGTGGCTTCCGGTTCCAGCATTAGGGACGGGCCTGCTCTGGGCATGGGGACGGGGGGCGGACCTGGGCTGGCATGGGGCTCGGGCATGTCCTGTGCGAGCCTCACCAGGCAGTCCCGCTGCAGGGTCTTCACCAGGGCGCTGAAGGTGTCGGCGTCGAGCAGGAGCCCCTCGGGCATGTCCTGCATGAAGTCCAGGTCCTTGTAGGTGGGGATGCTCTTCTCCCTCTCCTTCTTGCTGGCCCGCCGCTTGTACGTGGAGCCCTTGAGGTCGAACTTGAGGTGCATCTTGACCACGCGCGGCAGGACGTTGTTCATGACCACCACACGGATGTTCTTGCCCCCCGACTGCACGCAGTACAGCCCGTAGAACTTGGGCAGCAGCGTCCGCGGATTCTGGTTCAGGTTCTGCAGGGGAGGGGAGCGGGTCAGGGCACAGCAGCTGCGGGGGCCTTGGACACCCCCACAGCCGGCCCAGCTGGTTCCTGCCTCAGTGGGACTCATGTGTACCCCCAGCCGACCCCTGCTTGCCTCTCCTCAGGAAGCCCCGCAGAGCACCTCCCTCTCCAGGCCAGCTCCCCTCTGTCCTCCCCAGCACCCCCGCCCTGCTGTGAGCTCTGAGACAGCCTATTTCTGGAGTCACCAGAGGCTTCCACGTGCCTCTTGGTGAAGAGCCCAGAGGCATGTGGCCAGGTCTTCCCAGCCCACCATGTACCGGGGGGCAGAGGGAAGGGGCACTCCCCCTGCAGGAGCCACCCCGGGCCAGGGTGGGTGAACCCACCTGTTTTTGCAGGACTGAGAGCTGAGAATGGGTTTTATACTTTTTTTAAAAAGTTGGAAAAAATCTTGAGAAATATTATTTTGTGACCTTTGAAAAGGACGTGAAATTCACATTTCAGCATCCATGAGTAAAGTTCTAAGCACTTTGAGCCTCCAGGCAGAGCTGGGCTGTGCAGACAGGGACTGCCCGGCTCACACAGTCAGACATACTGGCCCTGTGCAGATGGAGTTTGCCGACCTGATCTGGGGGAGCCAGGGGTCCCACCCCAGGCACCACACACAGTGCAGGAAGGATGCCCCAAAGGGGAAACTGAGTCAGGGGCTGTCCTAAGCTGCCCCGACAGTCCGGGCAGCAGCTCAGGGGCTGTGCAGGGAGGGGGTGGCTCTTCAGGGGGTGCCCACCCTCCACCTGGGTGAGCACCAGAGCTCCCAAGGGTTGGGGGCCGGGTGGTCTGGGAGCTTGAAGCTCCCCACACCCCCATCTGTCATGAATCACGCTGAGTGCATGCCCCCAGCAGCTGGGCTTTAGTGAGGTACCAGCTGGCTTCCTCTCCACGTCTGAGTTACCACCCGGCCCTCGGTGTGGGCAGAGATGCTGCCCAGGGACGCCACCAGGGCTGTGCTGAGGGCGGAGGCGGCAGCTCCTGAATGCCACGTGGTGCTGGAGGGGCGGCCACGCACCATGTAGTACCCGGGGAGCAGCTTCTGCAGGAACTCAGCCTCCTTGTGCATCACAGTCTTGATGATGAACTCGTCGTCGCTGGTGACGTAGAAGAGGGAGCCGCTGGCGCCCGGATTTGAGAGCTCGATCAGCGGCTCATTGCACAGCGAGTACTGCAGGGCAGAGCGGGTTGGGTGGTGAGTGCTGGGGCTAGCGGACCGGCTTCTAACCTGTCCAGCAGCCCTGGAACTGGGGACTGTTGGCTCCATTTTACAGATGAGGAAGTGGAGGCTCAGAGAGGGGGAGTGACTTGCCCAAGGCCACACAGCAAGGATTGGAACCTGGGGCTACCTCCTCAGCCTGATGCTGACCTGCCAGGGCATATTCCACAGGTTGTCTGCCCTCTTGTTAGTAACAGGCACCTGATTGTACAGGCTGCGGGTGCTCCTGGCTATGACACGTTCCCAGCCTCCCCTGTGGCTGGGTGTGGCCACGATGTCGGCTCTGGCCAGAGTCACAATCAGAGACTTGGGGGAAGGCTGCCTAATGGGTGACAGACAGCTGGTACACCTGCTTCTTTGCCTTTTCTCCTTCCCACCTATCTCCTGCCTGGAACAGTGATGTGATGGCTGGAACCCCAGTAGCCACAGTGGACCACGAGGTGACCTTCAGGGCAGAAGCCATGGATCAATGAAGGCAGAAAGGGAGAGAAGGAAGCTGGGTCTCTGACGAGCAGCCCCCAGCCGGGCCCCTTGGAACTCACTCCACACCTCTCTTCCCCACTTTCTCTCCCACCAACATTTATGCTACACCTACGTGTTCTCTATCTTCCTGCACATGCCCTTTCCTGCTGTGCTGGGCGTGTGTGTGAGCAGGTGTCTCCCTAGAGTCAGGGGTGGCTAGAAGACTCGCTCAGACCACAGGCAGCAGATGGAAGCAAGGAGCGCTGCTTATGGAAAACACCGGGAGAGTCCACGGGTGACACACCAGGCCCTGCTGATCCAGGGGGACGTGCAGCTGGGGAGAGGATGAGCTGTGAGGTCACGCAGCCTGAGACCAGGGCTGTGTATCCAGCTCCGCACACTCTCCCTGTGGGTGTGCTGAGGGTCCTCACTGACCCCCGGCCGGTTCCCAGCTCCAGGCCCCCTGCCATGGGCTGGGGCCATTGAACTGATGCTTCTGGGCTCTGGCTGTGTGTACGTATGCTTGGGTGTCAGAGAGGACTGGGAAAATGTGGGGTTCCCAAGGACCCAGAAAGGCCCAATCCTCTCTTGGGCCCGACTCCCTCCCGTGAACAGCAGAGGTGATGGGGACCTCATAATCACAGCTGTCGCATCCGTCAACAGCCCAGATGGTGCGGAGAAACGAACATCCCCCGTCACAGCTATGGGAACAATAAAGCTTTATTTCTCACTCGGGTTTGAGTCCACTACGGCTGGCTGAAGACTCTGCTCCTCACTGTCTCTTGGGGACCAGGCAGGTGCCACCCCAAAATGACAAACATGAGCACTCCAGGCATTTTCCCCTGAAGCAGCATGGAGACTGAGCCATTCATTCCCACTTAAGTTCCTGAGCACCTAGGACCATCCAGGCCCCGTCTGTAGCCAGTGCTCCTGCCTGGAAGGATGATGTGATGGCCAGAACCCCAGCAGCCACACTGGACCATGAGGCAACCTTCAGGATGGAAGCCAAGTATCAACAAAGGCAGAAAGAGACAGGAGGAAGCACTGGGCACATGGCAGTTGTCAAAATAGGCTGAGTCCCTGGCTCTTGGAGCTGACATTCTTATGACAAAGTTAAACACAGTATGTCTGATGGCAATAACAGGGTGTGGAGAAAAATCACACAAGGTCAAGGGACAGAGTATGATGGAGGCAGCTACCCTGGACAGGATGGCCCCTCTGAGGAGCTGCCATCTGAGAAAAATAAGGTAATGGAGCCTGTGCAAAGGCCCTGAGGCAGGACATGCCTGGCATGTCAGAGGGACCATGAGGAGGCTCATGTAGCTGGAACAGATTGAGCTCAGGGAAGGCGAGGACTCTGCAGTTGGGGCAAGATGCATCCAGGCTGCAGCCTTTGCCTGGTCTGGCCATCTGTCTGTCCTTTCTCCGCCTGCATCCACAAGCCACAAATGTCCACAGAAAACACGGAGACCCACGCCTGGCTCCTGTCCCTCCCACCATGGGCTGTGAGCCCTCCCCACCTCTTTTTTTTTTTTTTTTTTTTTTTTTTGGAGCCTGTGCAAAGGCCCTGAGGCAGGACATGCCTGGCATGTCAGAGGGACCATGAGGAGGCTCATGTAGCTGGAACAGATTGAGCTCAGGGAAGGCGAGGACTCTGCAGTTGGGGCAAGATGCATCCAGGCTGCAGCCTTTGCCTGGTCTGGCCATCTGTCTGTCCTTTCTCCGCCTGCATCCACAAGCCACAAATGTCCACAGAAAACACGGAGACCCACGCCTGGCTCCTGTCCCTCCCACCATGGGCTGTGAGCCCTCCCCACCTCTTTTTTTTTTTTTTGTGGCTGGCCAGTACCGGGATCCGAACCATGACCTTGGTGTTACCAGCACCATGTGTGAGCTACCAGCCAGCCCCCTCCCCCGTCTCTTGGACACAGACAGTGGCGCAGAGTGGGGAAGGGACCCTCCTGGGGCCGGTGTCCTCCACATGGCAACGAGGCCCCCTGCAGAGCCCACGGTTGCTGTCCTTAGGTAGCGAGACATCACCTTGAGGTCATTTTGAACAGGGAAACTGCAGACAACCTGAACGTCCGTCCCCCGGGGACAAATGACATCGTCTCCAGACTGGCAGGAGAGGAAAGGTGCTCTGAGATGCAGAGTGAAAAAGCAGCAGAACGTGTGTGGTCAGCATTGTACCAATGAAGTCTACGAGCAGAGAAAGTTTTGGAAACAAACGGCTGAGGGCCACTGTCCTTGGGGAGTGGGTTGGGGAGCTGTGGGACCCCAGCTGAGGACACACATGGATTTCTGAGCCAGGTGGCACTAGGACAAGCCTGGGTGTGGCCCCTTCATGGTACCCAGGGTGTTCTTGGTGGCAGCTGCTCTGAGGTGGGCTGACCCATCCCCTTGTGCTCCTGCTGTTTGCAGCCCCCTCTACACCCAAACTTCTCCCCTGCTGTCTGAGCTGGGGCTGCCCCCTCAGCTGCAGGGCAGGGACATACGACCTCAGCTGTCCAATCAGAGCGATGCACAGACAAACCAGGCTCCCAGAGCCCCTACCCTGTGTCCTCTCCCACGCAGGCTCAGAGACCCTGGACCACGGGGTCCCCAGAGACAGTGCCAGGGCTGAACGCAGCCATCCCTGCCCTCCCGCTGCCATTTCCCACCCACCTTGCTCTGAGGCCTGGACGGAGGCCTGGGGGCTGCTGCTGCCCAGTACTGGGGGTCCCAGGAGAATTCCTGCCCCTCTGAGAGGCACAGAAGAAATAAGCATTGAGGATCCCCTGTGCAGGGCCAAATGTCCAGACACTGCGGGAGCATCCCAGACCTCTGAAGTTCCCAGATCTGCTTTTAGAAAGTTCTAGACGAGACCCGAGACATCTCACACCTCCTCCTCATTTGCTCGCTCCCCACTGATGGACATTCAAGCCACTTCTCTGCTACTGTGGACGAGGCCATAGATTTCCACTGTGGCAACTAACGATCCAGCATGGAGATGACCTGAGTGGCATTTCTACCCAAAAGCTCCAGGCTGTGCACAAGTCACTTCTCACCGTACTGCCAAACTCACAGGGACAAAGGGAAGGGTCTTCAAGGTGCCAGGATGGAGGTAAAGAAGTCGTGAGCTGGGACAGGGTGAGGACATGGCCACCAGCACCGACAGGGACGCTGCAGTCAGGAGACTCGGCAGGAGCACTGTGGCTCCTGGGCACCCGACGGTCTCATGTGCCCCAGGCTGGAGCAAATGTTAGCTCTCTCTGAAAGGACGCAGCCTTTGGGGGGACACAGGTTTCCCAGGGATGAAGATGGACCACACAGGAGCACACCAGTGGCCACCAAATGCAAGAGCAGGCAGCCCCTGTGGGTGAGGATCGGTGACCCCCAGGCCACCCCCAGGACTGTGGATGTTGGATGAATCAGATGCAGGGGATCGAATGATGATGGGGGCACTTTCCCACAGGCTTTAAGTTTTCCCTCATGCAGAGTTATACAAGAAGGACCAGGCAGATTTGAAAAAGAACCACCCCGAGCTTCTAGAAGCGTAGACCATAATGTGAATTCAGGTGGCACTGCGGTGACCTCCCTGTCTGTGCACCTCTCTGTGACTTTTGGAAGTGCTGATAATGGGTTGCTGGGTCAAAGGGTAGGGCCTAGATTTTGATTTTTGTAATTTGAGAAAATAAAGCCACAAGCAAGGGCCTGCTGGTTAGCTCAGAGGGTTGGAGCACGGTGCTGGTAACACTGAGGTACACGTTCAATTCCTGTGCCAGCCAGCTGCCAAAATGAATAACTAAAATAAATAAAACCACAACCAGAGCTTGGAGGACAGACCCTAAGCCGGTCCCCAATGACACCCACCTCACAGTGCAGTGCCCCTGCCCTCAAATGTGGGTGTAGCCTGTGACACCCTAACAAGCAAAGGAGATCGGATGGTCAGCCGTCAGGTTACAAAAGATTGCTGCGTCCGCTTGCCTGGCTTTGAAGGAGACCTACATGGCAAAGATCGGAGGCCCGGGGCCAACAGCCAGTGAGAAACAGAGTCCTGCCAACAGATCCTTCCCCAGGCAAGGCTCGCATGAGACCCCAGCCCTGAACTCCTGGACTGTCACCCTATGCAAAGGCCCCCAGCTGAGTGGCACCTAGTCCCTGACCCCCAGAAGCTGTGAGATTACAGATGTGTGCTGTTTGGAGCCACTTGGCCTGGGGTGCTTTGTTACGCAGCAATAGCTGACGGACACGCTCACCAAGTAGTCATCCGGGCGGATCCCGAAGAGCTCCCGGAAGTAGCGGAAAGCGACAGGTGCATAGGTCTTGAAGCGGAAGTCCTGGAAGTGGTGGGCAGGGGTGAGGTTGCTGCCTTCACTGTGGAGCAAGGACACAGAGGGGACTCTGTGAGGGATGGGGGCTGTGGGCGCACTTTGCCCCACTCCTCCCAATGCCCCTCCCAGGCCCAGGGCATTGCCTCCAGCAGCCAAACGCCAAGGTCCCCTCGAGTGGCCTGATCTCACAAGCAGCAAGTGGCTCCTGATGGAACAAAGGGGCTGTCCCCAATAACCATTCTCCCTTCTTCCTTAGCAAGGAGGCCGCACTGTTTCAATCTCCCTTGCAGTGGTGTGGCCACGTACTGCACTCGCCATGGAGACAGGAGGGGAGCAGACTCCAGGTGTGCTATTTCCTGGTTGTGCCCTTACAGGGAAGGGGCACATTGTCCCCCCTCTCCTCCTCTTCCTTCCTGCTTCTGGAATGCAGGCACACTGGCAGGAGCCTGGGCAGCCGCCTCATACCACTGGTCACGGAAGCTGCGTGCTGAGAATGGGGAGGGAGGAAACTGGAAGGAACCTGGGACCCTGACACCACGGAGCCAACTTGCCAGCCCTAGATTGCCTATCAGTATTTTTATGTGAGAGAAAAATTAATGTCTATCTTCTTTCCTATTTTTTAAAAACTGCTTTTATATGGGATCTCTCTGATTCTGTGGCGAACTAATAGAGGATCAGAACTCAAAGCCAAGGAACGCCAGCAGAGGCCTGGGCAACTCTCAGCAGAGAAGTGCGTGTGCGGAACAGGAAAGGCCTGTCTGCCTGCAGCAAGAGCCACTGCAGCGCCCAAGCTGCTTCGGGGTGCGTGTGGGCTGATGCTGCCCGGGGCCCCGGGCCCCACCTGGGAAAGAAGATGCTCTCCACAACGTAGAAGTCCTGCATGAGCACGTCCCGCTCGGGCTTGGAGCTGAGGTTGCCCACAGTATAGCCGATGCCCAGCTGGATGGCTCCCTTCAGGGTGGACGAGGTGGTCTGCGGGGAAGCCCAGAAGCTGCGTCAACACCCCCGAGCTGGTGTCTGCCGCACCCCCAGAACCCGCAGGGTGTGCTGGGATGGTGGGGCCAGCACCTAGTCTAGCCTGCAGCTGGACCCCCGGTGGGCACGGCCACCTTCTGAAATCGTGACACCCCTGCTGCAGCTGTGCAGGGGAGGGAACCGGGTCGGGAAGGTGACGCTGCTCGTCCTCGCGCCACGGGACAAGGAAGCAGCTCAGCTGTGACTTTTGCAACACGGCTTTGTGTGGCCCCAAAGCTTGTTTCCTAGCTAGATTCCAGAAGGTTCCACCATTTTAAAACCACCCGGACTCGGTAGGGTCGATGTACTGTCTTGTCTGGGTTTCGTTTTTTATGGGGAGTAGAATTTACAGAGCGATGCCCGACATACTTTCATTTCTGCAGACCTGGGCTCCTTCTACCCGCTTCCTATGTGACTGGCACTGTCATATTGTGTGGCCAACATTGCTTCTTGGTGCCTCAGTGTCCCCACCCATAGACAGAGATAGACACAAAGGTCCCGGCCCTCCCAGCTGCTGTGCACTAGGTCACGTAGGTGCCCAGGCCAGAGCCTGCACGCACGTGAGCACACCAGCCCTTCTGTCTTTACCACCACCATCCTCCATGTTACTATCACCATGCATTCTTTTTTTTTTTTTTTTCCTTTTTGTCTTTTTTCGTGACCGGCAACGGATCGCAACCCTCAGTGTCGCGCCCGTACCGGACCGGGACCGGCAACGGGATCGCAACCCTCAGTGTTGCGCCCGCACCTCGCTCAGCCAGTGAGCAGCCGGTCTGTATGTGGGATCCGAACCCTCGGCAGGAGCGCCACCGCACTCCCAAGCGGCACACTGTAGCAGTGCGCCACCGGGCCGGCCCCACTGTGCATTCTAAGCAATCTGTTTAGTTGAACACTGGGCAAAAGAAGCCTCAGCCCGTGAGTCTCTGATTCTGGAACGTGGCACTCCTGCTACAGGGGCAGGGTGGCAGGGAGGGCGGGCGGAAGTGGGTTTTGTGCAGCTATCAGCTTGGCTCTCTGACTACACCACATTCCGGGAGGCCCCTGGCCAGGCCTCCACGTCCAACACTCAAGACGCCACAGACTGAACAGACCTCAGTCCAGAGAAGATGCACGAATGGCTGAGAAGCATGGGAAGAGACGCGCACCTCCACTGGGCGTGAAGGAAAAGCAAATCAGAGCCACACGCAGACAACACGTCACACCTGCTAGCACGCTGGGATCACAAAGACAGACGCTAATGAGCACGGCGAGGGCCTGGGGAAATCGAAGCCTCACTCACAGCTGGTGGGAACGTAAAATGGTGCAACACTGAGGAAACAGTTTGGAATTTTCTCAAAAGGTTAAACAGAGTGTAGTGGATTGAATTATGTCCCCCTTAAACTCAATGAAGCTTGAACCGTGTCCCCAAGTTTTATGTATTAGAACCTTAGCCCCCACGGTGACTGTTAACAGGGTGGGATCCTATTATGGTCATTGAAAGGTGGAGCCTTGAAGAGGTGATTGGATTGCAGGACCTTGCAGTAGTGAATGGGTTAAAAATGGTGGTCAGGGCGTAGTTCTGGGGGCTTTAAAAGGAGAGGAGAGTCTGTCTTGCTCTCTCTCTTCTCTCTGCTTCCACCATCTTGCAATGTGAGACCCCTGGGTCACTGTCCCCAACACCAGATGGGCCTTGGGACTTCCCAGCCTTAGAAACTGCAAGCAATAGACTTCATTTTTCTTTATAAATCACCCAGTTCCATGTATTTTGTTATAAGCAACACAAAGTGGACTAATACACAGTTACCACGTGGCCCAGCAACTGCACTCCTAGGTATCTGTCCAAGAGAAACGAAAACAAAACTTGTGAAGGAAGGTCACAGCAAGACCACCTGCAGCAACCAACAAGTGGGGACAGCCCACGCGTCCACCAGCGGACAGACGGACGGACACACACAGCGCAGCCCCCCCCCCCCACGGGAACCTCACGCAGCCGTGAGAAGGAGCGAGGCTCCGACACACGCGGCCACGTGGATGGACCTTGAACACATCACGCTCAGTGACAGATGCCAGACACACAAGGCCACACAGTGTGTGACTCCATTTACATGAAATGTCTAGAACAGACCGATCCACAGAGGCAGGAAGTGGATTCGTGGTTGCCCGGGGGTGGGGGGATGGGGAGTCACTGCTGATGGGGACGGGGTGTCCCTTTGGGATGATAAAAATGTCCTGGAATTAGACAGACGTGACGGTGTACAACTCTGTGAATGTTCTAAGAACCATTTACGGTGTACTTGAAAAGGGTGAACTCTGTCCTGTATGGCTCCTCTCTCGCTAAGGCTAGCACACATAAAAAAGCAACTGAGAGAAACACAACAAACAGACAAACAAAAAAGCAACTGAGGCAGGGCAGGAGCAGCAGTGGGGTCCAGTCTCCAGCCCACAGGGCCTGAGCCGGGCCTGTCCTCAGCGCGTCACCCCGGCAGTCTGAGGGGCTGTAACCCCTTCCTCCAGAGGAGGCTCGGGGTTGGGAGCACTGCCGGAGGTCAAAGTTGACTCTGGAGCTGGCTGCCTGGTTACCCAGCTGCCCAGTGAGGACAGCGCACAGCAGGAACCTCACCAGGGACTGAGGCTCTCCAGGGAATCAGCCTAAGCCCAACGTGGTCACAGCCACGCCTGACCCCGTGGACAGCATGTGTGTGCACATACATGGGTGGGGGACAGTCGGGCCCACAGAACCACCGGGAGCCCCCTCTTTCTTCCTCCCATCGACCCCCCCAGCTAAGAGCAGAGGAAGAACCTTCTTGTAGGTGGTTTCACCAGACGCGTCCACGCCTCGATGGCCCAACTTCTTCCCATGGCCAGGACCTGGCTGTCCAGTCATTGATGGGGCCTAGGGAACAGGAAGCAGGCAGTGTTAAGGGGCCAGAGTGCTCTGGAATCCCTGGTGAGAAAGGGGCTTAGTCACCAGGTCCAGCTGGAACCAGGGCTGGGCCGAGGTGGGGTGTGGGAGGCAGGGGGCAGATGCAGGTAGACCTAGGGCAGAGGTGGCGGCCCGTCATCTGGAGAAGGGTCCGAGGGGCTTCTTCAAGATTGGACACCCTGAAGGGCTCACACCAAGATCAGGACTTCCGGCTCCTTGAGAAAAGCAGGAAGGTCAAGCAGACCCAGCCCACCTGACTGCAGGGTCTCTCCCCCTGGGCACTGTGGACATTGGGGCCGGGTCCTTCTCTGTGGTGGTGTGGTCCTGGGCACTGCAGGTGAGGTGCTGAGCAGTGTCCCCGGCCTCCACCCACTCCATGCCAGGAGCAGCCCCCAGTCGTGACAACCACAACTGTCCCGACATCACCAGCATCCCCTAGAGGACAGGACCACAGTGAGACCCCCTGAGCTAGCATGATTGCAAAAGGCATCCCTTCCCTGGAGGAGAAGGTCCCACTGACTGAGAACAGGCCGGCTCCTGAAAGCTGTCTGGGGGACAGCACGGGCCATCCCAGCAGACATGGTGTGAGCCTCCGACCCCCTTGTGTGACTTAACTTTCTGTTCCCCGGGGGGAAAATGAGGGAACGGCCCCAGGGGAGCTGGGTGCCCCTCTGTGGCCCCATCTGTCACTCGCATTGAAGCACGGCCCACTGTGGACCTCTCCGAGAGCCCATCCAGCCCATGTGCTCAGATCAGCCCAGCCTGCCCCGCCCCATCTGCCGCTGCCCAGCCCGGCTCCAGCGTGCTCTGCCTACCAGCCACCAGGGGGCAGTCTCTGCCCAGGAACTGACCCCACCGCCCTGGCTCCATGGGGCCTGCCCACTGCCCTCCCTGCTGCCCCACTGACCCCTGTGGGGCCGCCCAAGGACCCCACCCCACAGTGGACTAGTGCGTGGACCAAGCCCTCCCGGCTCCTGGTGTGGGCAGGAGGCATCCTGGGTGAGGACAGCTCACACAGACACCTGGCCCTGCGGGACTCCTTCCATTGTGGGTTTTAGGGACGCAAGGCCCTGGGCTGTCCCTTCTGGAAGATGGGGCTCGCAGACGTGCCCCTCACAGGCTATCTTCAGAAGTGACGGGGAAAGGTAGCCAGCTCCAGGTCCCTCGAGGGACAGGGACCGACCCCGCCTGTGGCCACCCCCAAGCTGCAAACAAGGCAGCTCAGTGCCCACGGATGGTCATTACCCAGAAAGAGGCAGTGAGAAGTGGAAGGGACCCAGTGTACCCACACGTGTACACACGCACGTGCACACATGCACAGACACACGCACACGCATGGGCCTCCCTCTGCATCCAGCTCCGAGCAGCTGCCGAGGGACCCTGCAAATGCTCTGAGGTGAAGGGCGTGGTCGGGCTGGCTACCGCAAGCATTGCCCTCTGGCAGCGCCTGACAGAGCCACCCCCCTCTACCTTGTCCCCTATCCCTGATGCTCCTGTGCCCACCCTGGCATCTGCCTCTAGCCACCGAGTCCAGCTGACACCCGGGACAACCCCAAGGGGCCAAGCTTCCAGCAGGAACCCACAGTCTGACCACCTCGGGTGGATGACTGGCCCGTCCTGCCCCACTGGCCCAGGACCCACAGAAACCCCTCCCGCCTCCACAGCCCCTCCCCGGGCACCCCTGGGGGCATGTCACCTCCCCCACATTCATGGCCCCTCAGAACTTCAAAGAGCACCTCCCCCATCACAGAACTGCAGGACGACACGATGTTCACCCCCCTGACCACACTGGATGGCATTTGGGCCTCAGAAAGGTGCAGTGAGCTGCGCAAGGCCACACAGTCACCAGAGGCAGGGAGGCGCGGGTCAGGGTGGGGCCCACTGGTTCCCCTCTGGAAACTCACCTCTGTCAGGGCCGTCTTTTTCTGAGCCAAACCTAAGGAAGAGAAGGGAGAGACTTCAGACTGGAGGCATGGCCGGGCCGGGCCCAGCTCACCTGCCCCCCGCCATATCCCACGTCCCCAGGGAGCCCTGGGCCTAGGACCCCAGTCCACCCCCCTCCTCCCCACCCCCTACAGGCCTGTCCCGCTTCACTCGGCTCCCTGCACCCCTGGGAACAGGTAAGTGTCCCCACATGGGACCCATCTCAAGGTCACACACACGGCAGGCTGAGCAAGCAGGTTGGGAGAAATGTGCAAGAGGTCAGGGCTGCCGGGTCCAGAGCAGGCAAGAGGCTTCGCGGCCTCAGGGGCCACGCAGCAGCGACGCCCAGGCTCAGCGAGGAAGGAGCAGACCTGAGCACCCACCTGCCTGGAGGAGGGGCAGGCGGCGGGCGGCAGACCCCTGCTCTGACCACCATTCAGCCACAGACACCAGGGCCGCGGATGACCGAGCAACTGAACTGACAGAGCCCCTCCTCCCACGGGAGCTGCCTGGTGTGGGCGAGGGGAGCCCAGACACCACCCTAGGGAGGGATCAGCGGGAGCTGGCTGTGCAGACAGAGGAAGTGGTCACGCGCCGAGGGCTGTGGGCGCCTCTACAAGCTGGGAAAGGAGGACACGGGTCCTCCCCTGGCGCCTCCAGGAGGGACCAGCCCCGCCCACACCTCAAGTTTAGCCCAGTGAGGCCCACGTCAGACCCCTGACCTCTGGAACCGTGAGCTGAGAAACGTGAGGTTTCAGGCCAAGTCTGTGGTGACTGGTTACGGCTGCCCCAGGGAATTCACACATGGGGTGTCCACCACGTGGTGGCCAGAACGCACCTGGTCCTGCTCTCCAGGGACTCATAGTCAGCAGGGGGTGGGCTGAGGGCTAGGAGGGATGTGTGGGCATGCAGATCAGTAAGGGAGGCCTCCCCAAGGAGGTGACATCCAAGCTGAGTCTGGGACGAGGATGAGCAGGGGACAGAGCTCCAGGCAGAGGGAGCAGCCCGTGCAAAGGTCCTGGGGTAGGATGAGGCCACCGTGTTGCTGCCTGGGCAAGCAGGGCACTTCCAGGGCTCAGCACCAAGGCTGCATGGACAGAGGACATCCTGGGTTAGGACTGAGATGGCAGCATCACCATGAGGCTCTGGGGCACGAAGACAATCCTCTTTCACAGTGCAGGAGCAGGTGCTTGCTCAGGGCTGACTCCCTGCCAGCCACTCCATGCGTCTTCTCGTCCCATTCTCCCCGTCAGATGAGGAGACTGAGGGTCAGAAAGGTCTGGGACCTAACCTTGATCACACAGCTGGGCTACGTGCTGGGGTAGGGCCTCAAACAGTCGTAACCCTCTCCCCAGGCCATCATCCGGGGGCTCAGCAGGCACTCGGTGGAGTTGACCTGGGGTTATTATAAATCCATTTAGGTGCCCAGCAGAGCCCGGTGCCCCGTCACCTGCTTTACGCAGGAGGGCACTGCACACACCCCACTGCCCGGGGTCCAGGCTTCTGGCCACCTCTCCACTCTGCGCCAGGCCACCATGTGGATGACCCAGCTCTGGCCCTGGCTGCGAGGCCGGCCTAGGTCAATGGCGGGCTGCTGTGTAGACACACCCTGCTATGTAGACAGACCCCACACGGGCCGGGTGGGAGAGAGGATGTGAGGATGAGGAAGTGGACATAAAGGCCACAGAGCAGAGGGTGGGATCACTGCCAGGGTGGTGGGCCCAGGCGGGGCACAGGCTTGGACTGGGGAGGAGGAAAGATTTCTTTCTTGCCTCTCATAGACTATGACCTTAAAGAGCCAGCAAAGACCCCAGAGGTCAGGGAAGCCCATCTGTTCCAAAGATGCAGAAAGTGGGCTGGCCAGTTAGCTCAGCTGGTTACAGCTGGTGTTGTAACTCCAAGGTCAAGGGTTTGGATCCCCGTATTGGACAGTCACCTCCCACACAACAAAAAAAAAAAAGATGCAGAAAGTGCTGCTGTGCGGGAGGATTAACTTGGCCCAGGTCACACTCAAGGAGCTCCTTCAAACCTGGGCCTGGGTCGCCGATGCCCCCGCTGTGTTAGCCCTCCTTGGAAGGCATGTCCCTGCCAGAGCCCCCAGTCCCCACACCTGCTTCCCCAGGGGCCACAGCCCTCAAAGCCGTGACATCAGCCAGAGGGTCGGTTCCCCTCAGGCCACATGGGCCAGCCCCACACAGCAGGGACCGGGCAGAGGCTGCCGGACAGGTGGAGGCACAGGACACGCAGTGGCGGCTTCTGGGGAGATGTGACGTCAGGACACACAGGCTGGGGGTGAGGACACAGAGGGAGCCGGGGATGGCTGAGGGTTCTGGCTGCAGCAATGAAAGAAAGGACTGAGCTGTCCTCAGCCACACCGGGGACAGCGGAGGACCAGGGGTGGGGGCCGACGGGCCCAGCGTGGCTGTGGTGAGTGGGAGCCTCCACGGATCCCTAACTGCAGCAATGAAAGAAAGGACTGAGCTGTCCTCAGCCACACCGGGGACAGCGGAGGATCAGGGGTGGGGGCCGACGGGCCCAGCGTGGCTGTGGTGAGTGGGAGCCTCCACGGATCCCTACATGGACACGTGAGTCTGGACCTTGGAAGGGGGCCCAACCAGCAGACGTGCCCGCCCTGCCCACGTGGCCCCGATGGCAGGAATGACCCTGCGTGCCCGAGCCCAGAGGCCAGTGGGAGGTGCGGGAAGCTGACACAATGTCTGTGTCGGCCGCCCGAGAGCAGAACAATCTGCGTCTTGCGTCTGGGGTGTGGGGGAAGGAAAAGGACAGGAGGCAGGAAGCCGGCAGGAGGTGTGCCGAGTCGGAAGGTTCTAGGCCTCATTAAGGGGCCCCTGAGGTCGAGACTTCTGCTGGCCGCTGTCCCTGCATCCCCCCCCACCACGTCCTCTGCAGTTCCCGGCCAGCAGGTCCATGCCGTGGTCCTGATCCCCCTCCACACGCGCACAAACTGACCCTCCTGCTTCCTCCCGCCCACCCACGCCCACCAGGGGCACTTGGACATTTTCCCCAATAGCCACCGTGCCCTGTACATGGGACGCCTCCTCTAACCGGCACCTGAGTGTCCACATGGGGCTCTGGGATAGAGACGGCATGGTACCCATGCTGCTCCAGAGGGGACAAGCACCGAACGCATCTCTTGAGGATCTGACAACACAGTCCTGGCCAAGCCTGCCCCTGCTCCAGACTCTCATGCTCCAGACTCGCCCTGGGACCAAGTTGAGATCCTCGGTCCCACATGAAAGACTCTCCGGACACAACTCCACGGACCTCTCTAGGCACTTCAGGGTCACCGGGCTTTGAGCCTGGGCCCCCCACGGGGCCCTCTGCCTCAGTTTCCCTCCCTAGCTCCATGTCTTCACCTGTGCTGGCTGATACCAGGAAGTGGACAGAGGTGACTTGCTTGGCCCCTGCCCGGATGTCCCTGCACCAGGCACCACGAGAATTAAGGGACTGGCTGAGGTGGCAGGGGCAGAGGGAGCCTCCTCAGTTGGGGGAAATACAGCGCCGAGCAGGAGGAGACACGTGGGGGGCTCAGAGACAGGGCCACCCTGTAGGAGAGGGCCGCGGGGGGCATGGCAGGGCCACCCAATCCCAGGCAGGCAGTGGGCGCCGTCGCCTCTTGACTCCCGCCCTGGCAAGAGCTCAGACGTGGGCAGCCCCCGACAGAGCTGTCACGCCGGGTGCCTCCCAGCCAGGATGGGGCCAATTACCTCTGAATGAGCTGCCCTGATTTCGAGGAAATTAGGTTTTAAAAATAGTTGGGGGAGGAGGAGAGGCAGACCGGGAAGAGCAGCCCACGTCTGCTGGGGGCCCCCGGCAGCCAGGGGCCCCACGTGGGGTGAAGCCATGGTCCCCCTTCCTCTCCAGTTCTCCACTGTGAGGGGCAGGCCGGCAAGCCAGCCGCCCACCTCTGGGTGACCTCAGGCACGTGCCTGCGCCTCTCTGAGGTTTCCTCCGGCCTGGCTGAGCCAGCCATCGTGGGGTGCCCAAAGCAGGGGGCTCTGGGGCCGGCTGCCCCGCTGCCCTCCCACCCCCTCATCTCCTCACCCTGAGCCTCAGTCTCTTAATCCGCAGAGTGGGCCTAAGCCTGGGCACCTGCTGTTCCCCCCGTGAGGCCGCACACCTCGCTGTGGCCCTCGGGGCCGCCTCCTCGCTCAGCTGTTCCGTGGTCCTCACCCCGGCCCCCTCGCCTTTGCCCCAGCTGGGGCTGCCGCGGGACGCTGTGTCCCGCCCCACTCGCGCCATGCCACCCCGGTCCCTCCTGGTGGTAACAGAGGGTCCCCCTCAGGGCCGGGCCTGCCCTCAACTGACACGAGCGTTTGTTGACTAACAGATGGACGGACGGACACCCGCGCGTCTGCGCTCTGCACACACACAGCCACCGGCAGAGCTTCAGCCCCACGTCTGCTTGATGTGGAAACTGAGGCAGGGAGGGAGCAAGCTGGGGCCCACGCCCACCCCCCGCACGATCCACCACGGGTGGCGATGGCAGTGCCATGTGGGTGCAGCCGTCAGACCGCACGTGAGAATGGGGACAGGCGGGGGGAGAAGAAAATTCAGGGAGGAAGCAGAAGACGCGGGCTGGGCCGCTGTCAGGACACCCAGAGGCGCCCAGAGAGGGGTGGCCGGAAGGCCGCGCCCGTCCCCGCCCTCAGGGAGACTTGGCCACCCCAGGGCCACCCCAGCCGGGTGTGCCGGTGGCTCCTCAAGGAAGAGGGACATGGCCACCGCATCCTCACGGGCCCCGTGGGATGGGAGGAGAAAGCCCCTGCCACGGAAGGGGTTCTGAGCAGAGCAGTGAGCGCCCGCCATGGCCCGCGAGGAGGCAGCGCGTGGAGCTCGGGCTGGGCGAGGGCACGGGGCGGGGGAGGGGTGACCGGAAAGGGAGCCACACGCGCCTGCTGTGGACAAGCGGCTCCCTCGCCCCCTCCAGCCCTGCAGGGCAACAATCAAGCCATGTACCTTACGAGACCCCCCACCACCACAGCAGACCCCTCCCCACCCCCGTCCTTCCCTCTCACTCTCTCTGCTCCAGCTGCACGGGCCTCCTCGCTGTTCCTCCAACATGCCAGGCTCGGTCCTGCCCTAGGGCCTTAGCATGGGCTGTGCCTCTACCTGGAACGCTCTTCCCAAGAAGCCTACAGGGTTTATTCCTTTGCTTCACCCAAGACCTGGCTCAACCGTCACCCCTCAGAGGCACCCACCTTGGGCACGACAGTGACCTCCGTCACTCTCCCCACCGGCCAGCACACACCAGCTGGCGCACATCTGTCTTCAACTCCGTCACTTGCAGATAGACACCCACAAATTTCTTTGAGTGCAGAAAGGCAGGGCCTCAGAGAGAAAGGGGCTGCAGTGGCAGCTAAGGCTTGCCTGGTCATTGCAGGGGCTTGTGCCCAGCAGGTGCTGGCTGACTGTGACTCAGAGCAGGCCTGAAAGCAGCGGGACAGATGAGGTGCAGGCCAGAGATCCTGCAAAACCAGATGGCACCAGGGCCAAGCCACACACCCACTTCCCTGATTTGCTGGAAGGATCCATCCTTCAGCCGCCCGCTGGGCAGGGCTCTGATCACGAGGACCAGAGGCCCTCTGGAGACCTGCCAGGGAAGCCAGGCCAGGCAGGGACACTCATGGGCACAGACCCAGAGCTAGGGACCCCATGGAGGGGCGGTGCCCACCCTCAGGCCCACCTGGCCCAGAATCTGAGCAGACAAAATCTGGGTGCTCACAGGCCATGATTGAAAATCCTCTTTCGCAAAGCTGTGGCAAGGGCCACTGTGGTCAACTGCAGATGGCCGTGATTCTTTGCAGCCACGTGGCTGGCTCTGACCAACAGAATGGAATGGAAGGTATAGTGTAGGCCGGAGGCATCCTCCAGGAACCGTGGGCCATAGGTCCAGCTGGCTCCCTGCAGAGCCCACACGGGCAGAGAGGCTGAGCAGCCCAAGCTGTTCTGACCACCCCAGCTGCAGAAGCCATCCTAGATTTCGTGCCAGCCACTGACCATGGCTGCGTGACTAACCCCAGGTAAGGCCCACAGAAGAAGTGCCCTGCTGAACCCAACCCAGGTTAACAGTTGTTGTTTGAAAAGTTTGGGGATGGTTTGTTACATGGCGATAGCGGCCCGAGACAGGTACCACATGTACATGCTGAGAGACTTGTCAAAGAAACACCAGGACCTGTTACCAGGGAATTCCTTGAGGCAGAAAAGGAGTTAGAATTTTTAAATACTGCAGCCAAGTCAGATCTCTTACATTCAAAAAAGCATTAAATATATCCACACACTGGAACATGACTCAGCCATGAACAGGAACGAGGCTCTGACACTCACTACCACGTGGATGGACCCTGAACACGTCACACTCAGTGACAGACGCCAGACACCAAAGGCGACACAGTGTGCGATTCCATTTACATAAAACGTCCAGAACTGGCCAGTCCACAGAGACAGGAAGTGGATTCGTGGTTGCTGGTGGGGCGGAATGGGGAGTGACTGCTGATGGGGACAGGGTTACTTTTAGGCTGATGAGAATGTTCTGGAACTAGATAGCGGTGATGGGTGCACAACTCTGTGAACATACTAAAAAATACTCAGCCTGGGCCGGCCCGTGGCTCACTCGGGAGAGCGTGGTGCTGACAACACCAAGCCAAGGGTTGAGATCCCCTTACAAACTAATAAAGACACACAAGATCCAGTCCGAGGTTTTAACACTCCGACTCGGCACACACCAAATGACTGTCAGGCTGGGATGATAGTCACCAAGGCCAACCCTCAACCTGTGCTCCCACCTCATGATGGACCTGGATGAACAGTGCTGTCCACTGTGACGCTCTGAGTGGGTGGCCCTGCCTCAGGCCTCTTCTCTCTTGACATAGGTGCACTGACATGCAAACTGTCTGGGGGGGCTCCAGGCACCCCCCAAAGCCCGTCCACTAACCCAGGGCCTTCCTCCTCGGTGCTGTGGACATGTGGGGCTGGGCCGGCCTGTGGCTCACCTGGAGGAGTGCGGTGCTGATGACACCAAGGCCGCGGGTTCGGATCCCATATAGGGATGGCCGGTTTGCACACTCGGGAGAGCGTGGTGCTGACAACACCAAGTCAAGGGTTGAGATCCCCTTACCGGTCATCTTTAAAAAATAAAAAAATCAACTGCTGGAGAAACTAATAAAGACACACAAGATCCATTCCGAGGTTTTAACACTCCGACTCGGCACACACCAAATGACGGTCAGGCTGGGATGATGGTCACCAAGGCCAACCCTCAACCTGTGCTCCCACCTCATGATGGACCTGGATGAACAGTGC